GAAGATAAGTCCCTAAAACTTCTGGCTGTAAAAACCAGTGGGGTGGTGAAAGAAACTAAAGGATTCTCAGGAATCTCTTCTTAAAGGGCCAATAACAGACTTAGGGCTTATGCAGACTTACTCCCTCTGGGCTTCAACACCAGGACAATAGCAGTCAGCAGCTCAAAGGACACCAGTGGTGGCATATAAGGAAAAATTGAAGTCACTAGTATCAGGGCAAATGCCAGGAGACAGCTTCCTCTCATACAAAACCTCAGAGGCCAGGCAGTGGCATTGTTCCCTCTCTGAGCTCTACCCCACACAAAGGTATGGAGTGGTGACTCAGGTTGCCCCACCCTGGCAATCACCTAAGCTCTACCCCATCCAATTCACCAGTTTGCTTTTTGTTTCTTTTCAAGATTTCATTTATTGATTTTTTTAGAGAGAAGGGAAGGGAGTGAGAAAGAGAGGGAGAGAAACATCAATGTGTGGTTGCCCCTTGTGGGCCCCCTACTGGGGACATGGCCTGCAACCCAGGCAAGTTTCCCTGACTGGGAATCGAACCAGCAACCCTTTGGTTCCCAAGCCAGCGCTCAACCCACTGACCTACACCAGCCAGGGCTCCAGTTGGCTTTTCTACAAAAGGCCACACTACTAAGACAGAGAGTCAAAGCAGCTCTACATAATAATATACAGAAACAAACACAGGGAAGTTGCCAAAATGAGGAGACAAAGATAATGGTCCAAATGAAAGAACAGAACTCCAGAAAAGAACTAAATGAAATGGAGATTGGAGATAAGTAATCTATCAGATGCAGAGTTCAAAACAATGGTTATTAGGATGCTCAAGGAACTCATTGAGTACTTCAATAGCATAAAAAAGTCACCAGACACATATGGGGAGTGGGTGAAGTGACTAGAAACGGGGCACGTGCCGGGCAAACCCCAAGAAGCCAGGCAGCACCACAATCCCCACTTTGAGCCCTTCCCCCACACAGAGCCATAAAGTGGTGAAGCAGGTTGCTCCACCCTGACAATTACCTAAGGCTTTACCCCACACAATTTACAGGTGAATTTTACAAGGAATCAGAACAGCTCTACCTAATACACAGAAACAAACAAAAGAGGCTGACAAACTTAGGAGACAAATAAATATAGCCCAAATGAAATAACAGAACAAACCCCCAGAAAAAGAACTAAACAAAACGGAGATAGCCAACTTATCATATGCAGAGTTCAAAACATTGGTGAACAGGATGCTCAAAGAACTCACTGAGTACGGCAATAACATAAAGGAAGCAAAGTTTACACTAAATTAAATTTTTAAAAATCTACCAGGAATGAACAGTGAAGGAAAGGAAGCCAGGATTCAAATCAATGATTTGGAACATAAGGAAGAAATAAACATTCAACTAGATCAATAAGATGAAAGAAGAATTAAAAAAAAAAGGAGGATAAAATAAGACGACTCTGGGATATCTCCAAATGTGCAGACATAAATAGACATACAAGTCCAGGAAGTACAGAGATTCCCAAACAAGTTGGACACAAAGAGGACCACACCAAGACACATCATAGTTAAAATGCCAAAGGTTAAAGGGAAAGAGAGAATCTTAAAAGCAGCAAGAGAAAAGAAGTTAGTTACCTACAGGGGAGTTCCCATAACAGTCAGCTGATTTCTTAAAAGAAATCTTTCAGGTTAAGAGACTTGAGAAGGAATATTCAAAAAGGACTTTTGGCCAAGAAGGAGGAGTACATAGATACACTTTGCCTCCTCACATAACCAACAGAAGGACAACAAATTTAAAAACAAAAATTAACCAGAACTGCCAGAAAACTGACCTGTATGAAAGTCTGATAACTAAGGAATTAAAGAAGAAACATTCACTCAGGTTGGTAGGAAGGGCAGAGATGGGCAGTCAGGGTGAAGAGGACTGTCTCAGCCAGACAGTGGCTGGTGGAGTGGGTGGTCCTACATTTGCATGCACATAAACTGGGAGGAAGAACTGTGGAGCAAGACAGATGGCACAATGCAGGGTTCCAGCACGGGGAAATAAAGCCTCAAAATCTCTGACTGAAAAAACCTGTGGGGGTTATGGCAGTAGGAGAAACTCCCAGCTTCACAGGAGAGTTAGCTGGAGACACCCACAGGGTCCTAGAATGTACACAAACCCAACCTGGGAATCAGCACCAGAAGGGCCCAATTTGCTTGTGGGTAGTGGGAAAAGTGACTGACAGCCAGCTGAGAGCCAAGCAAGCAGCCTTGTTACCTCTCGGGCCCCTCCTCCACAGATAGTGCCACAATGCAGCCGTGTGGGTTGCCCCACCCTGGCAAATACCTAAGGCTCCATCCTTACAACCTAACAGGCAAAGAAATAAGGCCCAAATTAAAGAACAGATCAAAACTCCAGAGAAAATACAACCAAGTGAGGAAGAGACAGCCAACCTATCAGATGCAGAATTCAAAACACTGGTAATCAGGATGCTCATAGAAATAGTTGAGTATGGTCACAATATAGAGGAAGAAGTGAAGGCTATGCAAGGTGAAGGCTATGCAAATTGCAACATAGGAAAGTGTACAGGGAACCAACAGTGATGGACAGAAACTGGGACAGAAACCAGGACTCAAATCAATGATTTGGAGCAGAAGGAAGAAATAAACATTCAACCAGAACAGAATGAAGAAACAAGAATTCAAAAAAAAAAAAAAAAAAAGAGGAGAAGCTTAGGCACCTCCAGGACAATTTTAAACATTCCAATATTTAAATCCTAGGGGTTCAGAAGGAGAAGAGGAAGAGCAAGAAACTGAAAACTTATTTGAATACATAATGAAAAGAACTTCCCTAATCTGGCAGAGGAAATAGAGTTCCAGGAAGTCCAGGTAGCTCAGAGGGCCCCAAAGAAGTTGGACCCAAGGAAGCACACACCAAGGAACATCATAATTACATTAGCCAAAATTAAAGATAAGGAGAGAATCTTAAAAGCAGCAAGAGGAAAGGAGACAGTTACGTACAAAGAAGTGCCCATAAGACTATCAGCTAATTTCTCAAAAAGCAAAAAACAAAAAAAAAATCTTTCAGGTAAGAATGCGATGGAAATGAGTATTCCAAGTAATGAAAGGCAAGGACCTACATCCAAGATTACTCTATCCAAGAAAGCTATCACTTAGAATGGAAGGACAGATAAAGTGCTTCCCAGATAAGGTCAAGTTAAAGGAGTTCATCATCACCAAGTCCTTATTATATGAAATGTTAAAGCGACTTATTTAAGAAAAAGATGATCAAAAATATGAACAGTAAAATGACAACTCACAACTATCACCAACTGAACCTAAAAACAAAATCAAACTAAGCAAACTAGAATAGAAACAGAATCACAGAAATGGAGATCACATGCAGGGTTATGGGGGGGAGGTGGAGCGGGGAGAGTGAGGGAAAAGGTACAGGGAATAAGAAGCATAAATTGTAGGTACAAAATAGACAGGGAATAGTTAAGAATAGTATGGGAAGTAGAGTAGCCAAAGAACGTATATGTTACAAGCCCTGGACATGAACTAGGGTGGGGAAATGATGGGGTGGGGGACGGTGCAGGGTGGAGAGGAATCAAGGGGAGGAAAAAAATAACACAACTGTAATAGCATAATCAATAAAATATATTTTTAAAAAAATATTTAAAGTCATGAAAAGCAGGGACCTACAGCCAAAACTGCTCTACCCAGCAAAGCTATCTTTTAGAATCAAAGAGCAGATAAATAGCATCCTAGACAAGGAAAAACTAAAGTTCATCATTACCAAACCATTATTACATGAAATGTTAAAGGGACTTAGTTTAGAAAAATATCAAACTATGAACAATAAAATGGCAATAAATACATATTTATCAGCAATTAAATCTAAAAAAACAAATTAAACAAGAAAAAGAGACAGAATCATGGATAGACAGGGTTTTGATAGTTGCCAGGTGGAATGGGTGTGTGGTGGAATGGATGAAGAGGTGAGTGGATTAAGAAGTACAAACAGGTAGCCACAAAATAGCCATGGGGATGTAAAGTCCAGTGTGAGAAATGGGGTAGCCAAAGAACTTACATGTATAACCGGTGGAATGAACAATGGTGGAGGTATCACCTGAGGGAGTGGGGGATACTTGGTGGAGTGGGGCAAAGGGAGAAAAATCAGGACAACAGCATATTTAATAAAACATAATTAAAATTAAGAAAACATCAAAAACTTTTCTGCTTATGAGTATCTTGATTTTATCTTTATTCAGTTTTTTATAAAATCATATAAATTAACAACTGTAGAGGGGTGTAGAGTTGGCAGAGGTTATACTGGGATAAATAAGAGACAAAATGCAGTAAAATTTTAAAAAACATATATTATTAACTCTAAAACATATCAAGAAAATCTCCACTGCCTCACGTGTTAGCCATTTCCAGCCAGACCGGGCTCAAATGTTCTGTAACTGAGAACCCTACATTCCCCAAGACACCTTCGGAGGCTTTGGGGATTCTTAGGCCAAGTGAAAATCAAGTAAGCAACCTCACTCAACCTTTTAATTCCTCCCTAAATCCTGTTATCAGAGTCGCCTTTATCTATCTCCAGTTTCTCAATTTCCTCTTTCTTCTTCTACAGGAAACGGCTCTCATTTCCCTTCTCACGCGGGTCTTCAACCTAAGAGTCCTTTAGACTCAGTGTTTGGGGTCGGGGCCAGGGTTCCGACCGCCACCAAAATCTCCCAGTATCTTCAGAGACTCAGAAGCAGTTCCGGAAACCTTTGCGTGCCCCGATTCCAGCTCTCCCGCAGCCCGTCACTCCCCTCGGTGCCCTGCCCCTTTGGTAGGCCCGCCCTCTGAGCGACTGACCAATCCCCGGCTACGCTTTTGGGCGCGACATAGTGGCGCCCTAGGGGTTCGGTTCCCGGACGTCCGACGTTGGCGGTCCCGCCCCGCTGCGGTCTCTGCATTTTCCGGTCCCGTGGTGGAAGTTGGACTGCTTTGCGTCCTTCTGGAAAAGGTGGGCTTCCGTGGGGAAACCGACCAGGGTTTGCGTCGTCAGCCAGAAGCGGGGTGGCGGTGCGGGTTCACGAGACCGCTGTTCCCGGGTGCTGTGGCGCAGGGAAGAGCAGGGACCCAGCGCGCTTAGAGCAGCAGCACTTGAAGGGTTGCGTACGCCTTACGGGCGCGAGTTGTGGACTCCGGCCGGAGTGCTCCAGACCTATTGGGAGCCCCGCCCTGGGCGCGCTTCCAGGGGTTTCCATGGTGATGGTAAACAAGTCTCAACTGCCTCAACTACAACTGCCAAGTGCCCCGGGTTCTACCCTACTCTAGGTGTTCAAAGGGGCCACCGAGCTGCCGGATGTGAAGTAGAGCGGGAGCGTGGAGACTCGGAGCCCGAGGTGAGGGGCGGGACGAGCCGAAGGTCGGAAGCCTTACACCAGGGACCGACTGGAGACTGGGCCCGTTGGGGTTGTGGGTGGCAGGGCTGCGACTTGGAGTCCGGAGAGGCAGGATCTGAGGTCAACGGCCACCCTGGTGCTGGTCAGTGAGAGACTGGACCTCTTGCTGGTGGGGACCGAGGGTCTGAGATTTAGGGACGGAGCAGGCGGAGTCTGGGATCAAGGGCCGCACGCCCATATATCCACCTGAGGCTGAGTCCACTGGGAGTAAGGGTGGTGGGGCAGAGATTTTGTTTTGAAGGAGGTGGGCCTGAGATCAAGGGCCTTACACTCGGATAGACCTTGGGCCCGAGGTTTGGGGTTCGGAGAGGTAGGTCCTGCAGAGAGGAAGGGAAGGAGGTCCTGAACTCCCCTACCAGGCGTGAGGGCACCGGGCGAAAGTCAGAGAGGGAGTTTGTTTAAAAATAAGAGTAGCTCCACCACGTGGCTGGAAGCCCCGGGGAGTCGCTGTACTAGGGTTGGGACTGACTCCTCCCCTTCCCACGTTCCCGCTCGCCTGGCCTCCACTTTCGGTCTTTGCCGCCTTCCTCTTTTTGCGGTGTGTGAGTCCTAAGCGCCTGTCTACGTTGTCTACTGGCCGGAGAGGTATTGTGTTTGTATTTTGGCTGAACCTCTTTTTGTCGTTGTCTTTGCCTGGTGACCACACTTTTTCTGAGCGAGCTTGGTTAATCGGTTATTTCTTTTTATTTGTCTCTTTATCTTTGAATATTTGCTGATTCTTAACTCTAAGAAACTTCTGGACTCTCGGCGCTAGCGCTGCGCCCTCTGCCCCCTCTACCCTGCGTGGTTCACTGAAGGTGTCGACAGTGGCGTGGGTGACGCCGGGCAAGTCGCGGTGTCCCCACTTACCCTGGTTTTTTACAGAAACCGTTGGGAGGCCCCAAGCCCAGAAGACCCCCCCCGCCCCACCCCCATCCCCTGGGCATCTGCGCGAGTGCGGCCTGTCTCACACTGTGGCAATCGCAGCAGTTTCCTTCCCTTGGAGACCCGAGGACAAACAAACGCTTTTTCCTCTATTTTTACAACTGTTTGCTGGGTGTGGGGGGATCTTGCCTGCCCCTGTGGGGCAAGTGTGTAGTGGGAGAGAGGCCCGCGAGCTGAGGAGTGACTCTGCGTCACGACAGCTTCCTGGAACCGCGCGGGCGGGCCGTGGGCGGGAGGGGGGTGGTGGGCGGAAGTGCCACAACTTACGGTGGCGGCCTTTGCCTCTCCTGAACCTGGTGGAGCAGGGAGAATTTTGAAGGCTGTAAATAATTTTAACTCAAAATACCATCGAAACTACTGATCCTAATGTAATTCTATTACTTTCAGTCACGTTTTTAAAAGTTAACTGTTTCTGAATTTCTAGTAATGACAATACCTTGGGTTCTCCAGTTAGTCAAAAAAAATGCATTAGGCTCTGTCGGTGAGAAGTGGTGTTTTATAGATGTCTTTTCAAGATATTTTTCATTGTAAAATAAGTGAATATTGGGAGAGGGTTGCTGTATCACTAATGTTAAGCGAGTTCATCCTGTGATTTGAGGGGTCTCATGCTCCTGTATTTCTTCACATTAATTAGGTTTGCTATTTCCGTGTTGTGATCTTATTTGCTTTTTAAACTGACAAGTGACTGGTTTTTCACTTAAGAGCATTGTTACAAAGCTCCCATTAAACTATCAAGTAAAAACATGAATTGACTTCAGGGAAAAGATTGATTAAATGGACAAGTGCTTGTACATGGCCAAAACTGTGAAGGTGAGTGTGTGTGGAGACGAGGTGCCCATCAGGGTAGGTGCCTGGAAGAGCTGCGGAAATGGGAGTGGGGGGACCCTTACAGGAGATAACTTTCTGCCAACCTCCCCTCATTCTGAGCTCTGGCACTCACTCTTTTTAAAGCCACATTAATTAACCCTTACTGTGTCCATTCACCGAGCGTTTTAACATTTTCTAATCACATTCTTGAGCAGGTTATAAGGGGGTATTGATGTTATCCCCATTTTACAGATGAGGAAATGGAGACTGGGAGTCAAGAAGTCACTTGCCCAGTGGCACAACTGGGGCTAGGACTTAGATCTTTCTGACAGGGACAACTGCCAGGGCTCCTGCCCCCATCTCGTTACCCTGAACCCCAGGGTACTAGTGGAAGACAAGGCAAGGCAGAGGGAGAACCAGGCTCAGCTAAGACCAGCCTGGCTATTTTACAGCAAGCACATCCCATGGATAATAAGATTTGTATCCATAAGTCAGCTTGTATTTCTAAGGACCTTTAAAAATACAACCATGATACCATCACACCTAAAGAGATAATTCCTTAATATCAACAAATACCTAGTGTTCAGATATAACTGCTTATTTAATAAATATTTCTGTAAAGATGGTTGGTTTGAACTGGGATCCAAATAAGGTCACACTTTATGTTTGGTAGATTATATCTTTTAAATTATATTTTAACCCAAAGCAGTCCTGTCTAATAGAAATAAAAACAAGCCACATAGGTAATAATTTACTGTATATCCAAAATACTGATTACATTTTTAAATTATGTTTCTCATGTTTTCAAACCAAGCTTTCAGAATCCAGTGTACTCTTTATTACTTACAGCATGTGTTTGTACCAGCCAAGTGACTACCTTATTAGTGATGATGTAGGATGAGGTTGTTCTACATTCTTAAAACATCTTTGTTGACAAACCAGGTTGTATGTCATGTAGAGAGGTCTTTCCTCACACTGGGTTTTTTTAATTGCATTCCCATGGTGGTGTTTGAATCTCTGTATTCTGCATTTGCTGTAAAATGTCATTTACCTTTAAAGGCTGTTCTGATTCCGTTGAGATTTTTTTTTTCCTGTGGAAAGAATATTTCATTTGAGGTGCTATGTACTCCTACCAGAGGGCACGTAGTTATGTTTCTTCCCCCTTTGTGATGGTAGCAGCTGTTGATGATTATCCCTACATCCATTGTGTTGTCAGTGTTTCCAAATTAGTGGATATTTTAAGAGTTATTGTTTATTAGCAGTAACACTTCTAGAGAAAGGAAATTTTAAGATGTACTTTATAAAAGGCAGGTTACAGGCTTTATTTTTTTCTTTATGTTTATCAATGTCCTGCATAATGAACTGAATCCCTAGCATGTGCCAAAGATAATTTTTCTGGTATTATGAATTCATGGATTTTAGCATATAGGATGTGTTTTAATACACAGTAGGTTTTATTCTCTTTGCTCAATTATCTAGTTTTTGGCCAGTGGGAGCCCTTCAACTTAGTTCTTGGTTTCCTTGATTTAAGTGGATCCACCAAAGTTTAACTGGAACACTAGTAATGGGCAATTGGGTTGCTTGTAGACTTTTCCTGTTAGACCTAGTGGTGCAGTGAATAGCCTTTGTAGGTGTCTTCACCTTTTTGACTATAAGAGGTGAACCATTTAGTATTTCCACAAACAGTATTTGAGAGCGCCTACTTATTATCTACAGCTTTGCTAAGGAAATATGTTATACACATATACACAGGGAAACTTGTGTATTTTTGCCAATATGATAGGTATTTTAAATGTTATTTCACTTAAAATTTTAGTTTATCATTTATGGGTGAGATTGAGCACCATCTTTTCATGTTTAAGCTCTTTTTGTATGTATTGTTGGACATTTTCCCCATTTTTTCATTGGTATTTTTGCTTAGCTTATGTTGTTTTTAGCCATGCATAAGAGACTTGGTTTTTTAATGTAATCAGATTTTGCGATATTTTCCCATATTCTGTTTTTTTGGTCATGGTCAGACAAGTTTTCCCTACTCTCACTTTATAGAGAGATTTATCTATTTTCTATTTTTCTTTTATTATTTAGGATGTTTCTTAGCATTTCTCCTAAAACATGAACAATTCTTAACTCATTTTGCCTTCATTAATATGACAGTGTGACAAATTTCAATGAAGATTAACTTTGAAATGATGAACTACAATTACATTCTGAAATAAACCCAACTTGGTCATGATGTAATATTGCTTTATGTATTGCTGGATTTAGTTGGCTAATAATTTATTTAGTATTTTTTCTTCTGAGTTCTTTAGCTTGGGTAACTTGATAAACTAATTCTAAAACTGGAAATGGAAAACCAATTCCGTACATCAAAATGTAAAAATTCAGATGCAAACAGCTTTATAAGCTGTAAAAAATCCATGTGGTGTCGGGCTAGGAAAAAGTTCTCTTAAAACAGGAACTAAACAGTGATAATTACAGGCAGGCAGGGAGATGAGAGACGAGAATGAAAAATTCTAAACTCCTTTTAGCTTTCCCCTGACAGTATACATTCCTTTAAAAAAATCCTTACCTGGTACAAATTTTACAAATTCCTATCACACTCTTATTTTAGCATATTTTAATACATTTTGATTAACTCAGTACACCCAAAACATTTCAACATGTTATCAGCATTTTAAAATTGAAAGATTTTACATTCTTGTGTGTGTGTATACACATATGTGTGTGTGTATATATTCTCTTCATTTATTTTTAGAGAGAGAGAAGGGAATGAGAAAAATAGGGAAACATCAATATGGGGTTGCCTCTCAGGGGTCCACTATTGGGGACCCAACCCACAACCCAGGCATGGGCCCTGACTGGGGATCGAACCTGTGACCCTTTGGTTTGCAGGCTGGCAGTCAGTCCACTAAGCCACACCAGCCAGGGCTACATACTTGTTCTAATCTTTGCAATTCAGTATGCATTTTATCCAGCACATCTCAATATGTTCTTGCCACATTTCAAGTGCTCAGTAGCCACTTGAGGCTAGTGACCACCGTATTTTTATTCTCTGTACCTTTTTTTTTTTTTTTCCCAAAGCAGCCTCTTTCTATACTTTAAATGTCGGGATTTCACCAACACATGCCTTAGGTTGTTTCTTTAAAATGTCTGTTGGGAACTACACAATTTATCTTAAGCCAGGAAAGTGTCCTTCCATTCTTTATCAG